CATTCGGGGTCTGTGACTTATATTCAAAACGAAGGCTTGATCCCCAAGGAAATCTACATAACTGCAAATAAGAATAAAGTTAGGCCATTAGAATATAAAGATGAGTGGGAAGCTGCATCGACGATTGACGCAGCGTTGATGTGTAGTTAAAGGCGTTATTTTGCACTCAGGAGTGTTTTGAACGAATTGCGAAGATGATTGATCAGGTTGGCGAGAGCGTTAAAAGCATCAAAGTTTTGGTAGGATTAACAAAGGACTCACCCAAAAAGTTACCCGTTCAAAATAATCGGGCTAATAATATTAATGGTATTCATTGGAAAAGGTGATCCTGGGTTGGTAGGGTCTGAAGATGTATATATCGGGAGGGGTCGGGAGAGAAAGTATTTAAAGTTTGGTGCCAAACGACGACACTAATTTGAAGGGAATAAAAGATGACAAAAGAACTATACTACGCTCAACAATGATAGTGACAACAGTAAAAACTGCAGACACACGGAGGGCTGGGGCTCCATACTTTGGTTAACAGTAATTATATGATTTGATTTAAAATATATATATCCGTATAAACTATACGGATAAATAGACAACAAATCAAGCTTTAAACCCTATTCAAAATACCGCAAAAAACAGTGATTTTGGCGCCAACCAGAAGTGACACTTTATGCAATCGGCAAGGATATGGATGCCAAATTTAAAGGAAGTAGAAAAAACACGAAGTAAAAGCATAATCAAAGTCACTAAGGCAAAATTAAGCGAACTTGTCTTTAAGCTTAATGAGAACTTTAGTGGTAAATTTATAAATATAAAATCAGGCAAGGATCAATGCCGAGAAATCGTCGAACAAATTGACAAAAAAAGCACCGATAGGAAGAATGGTCTGGAAAAGTCAGAAAATGTTCTAATAAACCATCTGAATAAACTGGATATTGTTGGGACTGGGATCCATACAGTGCACACATATAAAAAACGAAATTGAGGTGTTCATGAGGTTCAATTCGGTTGCCAAAAGGAACTCCATAATGAAAAAGTATTACGCAGCTTCTTTCTTAAAATTAAAGGATGTGATAGAAGACCATGAAGGTGCTCATATTGACAGAATAATTTTTTCAAGTGATCATCTTACACCCATGGCCAGTAAACTCTCTTATCTCTGTCGCAAATCGAAAAGGTAAAAGTGAATTACTGCTTACAGATTTCGCAGTAGAGATGTGTCTCATGTTGTGTTGAACCACAAATGATGGAGTGGAGACTGCGCTAGATGTATTTAATGCGTGCGAGAGATACCAAGAATTCTTGTAACTCCTCAACTTCAACTTTCTAACTATACTATTACTGTTATCACGGTACCGCTCTTTAGTATGTTGGGTTAATCTGCAGAAATGTTTTGAATGTGTCAGAAATGCCGCTGACTTCTGGATTCTCTGTAATATATATGTGATTCTCTATTTCTATGTATAGTATTAGCAGCTCTTCTTTTCTTTGGTAAAATGCTACTATGTGCAATAATTTTTGAGATTCATATTCTTTTTCTTTTATATTTTCTCCTCTTTTCTTTATTTCAATATATTATCATATAAAATATATTTTCTTTATTTCAATTTATAAAAAAAATAATGTTACTCCGATTAGTTGTAAACTTTTTTTTGTTAACGTGGCATACCAAATGTTTCATCCGCCAACTTCAACCTGGGTTCGGTTGTCGACGATGGAAAACAATCTAGTATGCATCCTTACCATATAAGGCAAAAAGTCGCCCATGCCCTCATGATGTCTGTGTACGTACGCCGGATCTCCATTCATCGGAACTTTTCCCCAACCCTTTCCAAGTTTGCAGAAAAGATCGCTGAGATGTTACCTGTGGTGGCATTGCCATGTCATTGCCCTACCGTCCTATCCTTTGAGTTTCCATTTCCTCCTGTCGTCGAATTTACTGTCACTTGTGCGAAAGTTGGTAATAAATTTGAGCTTGATGATCCTTACGTTACAAAATGCGTTTGCTGCGTGATTCAAAACCAATTCTTGCTCTTTGCCCTTAGAAATTTGAGTCCGGACCCACTTATCTCTTTGCCTATTTACGATGACAGCTTTTGTAAGCTTTGCCGCTACCTAACCACACGTACATTATCCTCGGTGTTTCCGTCTTAAGTTAGTCACGTAGTGGTACTATCGTTTCGCCGACATTACTTGGAGAGTTAAACTTCAATGACCCGAGCCGTTTCTCTAGTAGCTCCACTTTTATAAAACTTAGTCAATGAAGATCTAATTACGAACTTTTCAATCCTTTTGGAGTTCTTCACAAAATCCTAAATGATATCTCTAATTTACTTTCCATGTCAGATTCATTAAAAACTATCAAATCAACTCTCCTAAATGCACGCGCTTTGCCTATGTTGCGTCTAGATTAACTTTTAATCTCGATGTCTGCACAGCATTCGAAAATTAAATCAAATTTCTAAATCATTATTGGTTGCCAAGTTGTTGTATGTTTGCAATGGCTTGGGGGTTCCTTTGTACTAAATGTGTACATGATTTTTTTTCTTTTTTCTTTTTTAATTATACATGAATTTTGTTCTTTTTATTTTCTTTTACTTTCTTTACTTTTCTTTAAATTGTTGTTAATCATTATTAACACCACTTAGCATAACATCTATTTCTAAGAGCCAACTAAATTCCGCTGTTAATTAATGTTAGCTGAGTTTTATGTATAAATAAAATAAATTAATAAAAATAAAATAAATAAAGCAAACGTATCATAGTACCCACAATTTATGTGCGGCTGCTGGTGATTCTTCCTTGCAATTAAGAATGATCACACCGTTATTTCGTAAGGTTGTCTTTGTTTAGTACCTTTGTAAATGACTTAGTTGTACGCTGTTATGACTGTAACATTCACTTATTAGCTGGTGAAGCACAAGTTTACCTGTTGCACCCGCTTGGACTTTTGACTGGTTCAGTGAGTAACTGAGAATTCAGATCATATTACTCTGTGGAACTTTGATTTTAAACTCAATTCTCGCTTGAGCGGTGCTAGAAATGTTAATTTCACGACAATATTTTGGGAAAACTTGGACGCTCCGTCCTCAATTAAGATTAATGCAATGCCTTGTTGGTCCACTAATATCGTATGGAGCATATGTATTTAGCAGATTATATTATGTTCATAACAAAAAATCGCTTGTCGCGGAAATCTTATAGTACGTGCCAGCTAAAGTAAACTCTCCCGTCGGACACATGGGAGCTATTGAGTAATGCGATATTACAAGGAGCGTGAAGAAAATTAAACAACTAACCCATGAATCCATATTAATTAAGTTTACTTACCTGCAATAGCCGAGTTATGGAATGAGATACGTTAATGTTGATTTCGTTTAATAAAAGCGGCATTTTGATTCTACCATTCAGCAGATCATACATAAAGTTTATATCTAAAGCAAATCCGCGCTTTCCTAACGAGTGTAAATGAATTACCCTAACTTTATCTAGAGGGGTGAGTCCCAAGCAAGATTAGTGTCCCGGAAACAGCTTTGACATGTAAACTAATTAGTGGAATGCCATCAAATTTTGGCATGCGCCGTTTGAAGGTTGATACTATCCAGAAGAAAATATGTGTATATATATGAGACCAAGCGATACGCGACTAACTATCGTATAAAGTTCTTTTTAAGATAAAGAAAGAAATGCCGTCAAAAGGATGGAAAAATTCATCCTCTGTAAAAATGATATGAGCAAATTTATTTCTGTATTACAACAATAAGTTGGACATATGCTTATATTGTTACAGTAGTTCTGTTGAAGGAAATGTGTTGAGTAGGCTCAGAACATAACGTTAGTGAAGAATACATATCCTCCGGCGCATATTTATAACTGTCACATCCAGAGAGACAGACATAACATAGCTATAAAAAAACATCTGCCCTTGTTACGTAGATTGCACTTAAATATCGAGCTGCGAATAGAAATTCGAAAAAAAACTTATCGAATTTTCTTCCTTTCCCGAAAGTACACGAAAAATTTATTGAAAAATACATCAAAATCGCTTTTATATACATAAATATATTCTTGCAAAAAATGTATAAAACGCACTCATGCATATGCACCTATATGCCATGTATGTAGTTGCGTACAATTTGCATACGATTACATTATGTGATTGTATTATTGCATGTCTAAGCGTATATCAAATTGAATGACATCTGAAGTGACAACTGTACAAATAGGATTTTTTCTATTTTTTGGGTGCCAGGCACGACCGAGGAATAAAATTAATACATTTTACTCTGTGCTAGTCTGTATAGAATATAAAAAAAGAGGTAGACAGCGAGAACGACGTAGAGAGAAAGGGGGAGAGTTAAGCACAAAGAGAGGAACAGGATTAGATATGAATGCTTGGCACTTGAGTTAATGGAATTTGTAATTATAGAAATCCAAACTTATACGTATATATAAATATATAAGTATATGTATATCTATGTATTTATTTTCACAGAGTAGTATTTCGGCTCCCAGCATATAGCATAACAAATATTGCATTCAACAAATTTTATTCTAGAATTTTTGTACATACGTGTCTCTTCTGGTTTCACTTTTTCAGTCGCTCGAACATGATTGCTTAAAAATCTCCAGCATATTTCAAATACATGTCACCAACATTGTTTCACTCTTCAGAGGAATAAAATTTTATGCTCCTTTGGCATATTTGTCCTCTGCATACTGCTTTTTTTATTTTTTTTGGTGTATTGCTTTTTTTTTGACATTCGCAATGTGTCTTTAGTTTTTCGTCATAGTTTTGATTAAAAATGAATCAAAACAAAGAAAAAATTGTACAAAACAGCCCGCATACTTTTCACTGGTTTTCTCTAAATAGTTTCCTTCGTTGTTGCTATCTTTTTATGGAAATAAAACAATGGAATGAACGTACACACATAAAGATGATTTTTATTCTCTTGTTTTTCACTCCTTTTTAAATTTATAATTTTCAAAACAATTTTTATGAAAATTTTCTATAGCAATAGGTTAACTTTGGCTTTGTTACTTAGAGCTCGAATAAAAAAAGCGTTGTGTGAATTTTCTACTTAAGATTTTTTATCAGTAAGGTTGTAGATTTGCCGAGCAATCACCGAGTATTCCACATCGATAGGCTTAGTATCATCGTATAATGAGGGCGCCTCACATAATATCATAAAAGTACCAACCAATGAGGCAATCATAAAAATCCACAAAAATAGACGATCTAACACCATAGCCACAAAACCCCAATCTTGATCTTCCTGCAAAATATTAGACATTTAAACATTTTCAGTATATTTTAGAATTTTTTCATTTAATTTGCTACTCCTTTGAAATTTTGAAATATATGTTAAGTAGTTCTGTCCACCATTATTGCGGAAAATTAAAGCCTCATTTTATAGTTCAATTAACTGGTTAACATATTCGTGAACTTCCTGGTCAAAATCGAAGCCCGAATTTTACCCTTTAATAACTAATTTAATTTATTTATTTTAATCATAATCCGTTTATTATAGCCGCCACAGGAGTATGGTGAATTCTTAATTGTTTACGGCGGGGCAACGTCTGGTTGTCTGTTTCGAAACTTTTTCCATTATCGTCAATTCAGACTAATGAAGCGATTAATATATTTATTCACCAACAACTAAACAAAAATTGTGTTTTTTCTAAATATAACCTCAAAAGCTTCGAGGGCTTCACTAAAGATTGATCTATAGTTTTTTCTGAGTAAAATCTCCATGCCGTGTAAAAAATTACCTCTTGGAGATCAAGCATTCGATGATGTTTATTACAAAAAACAATATAAACGCGAAATACGCAACGGCGCCAATTTACAATAATGACATGCCAGAGTGTATAAATATATCTGTTGAATTAATGTTAATTATAGTACACATAAATAATAATTGAAATATTCGGAGTAAACCGGTTACACTTTCTTTCTTATTGCACATCTCATCGAACGATGGTGGCATACTTCATATTCGTATGCATGGCATATAGTTGAGAATGCAAACATTAAAGAATAATCTGTAGAAATGTTATCTGATAAAAGAAAAATGATAATTACTACTATTAATAGAGTGAACAATCCACGTCCCAACCTAAAAGATTTATTGTACTCAATGATTACTATTGTACAATTGTATTAATAAATCAAGCTAAGCTTAACTTAATTAAAAAAAAAAAAAAAGCACATGCTAATGAAACCAAAGTCCATCCAAATAGTTATTCAAATTTCGTCATAAATAACGATCAGGTGGTCACCCTTTCTTAAAGTAAATAATAAGAAATATGAGCTTAGATTTGTTTACAAAAGAAATACTATCTTTGAGGCTGCGAGTGCTATTTAATAAGATTCGAAGAAGCATTGTGTTTGGAATTACATATACCTCTTAATTTACGCAAGTGTGTTTCTCGAAAAATCGTGTAAATCGGCAACCCCAAAAAGTAGCAAGACATGCTCACTTAAATTGTGATTAATTCGAGAATATCTATAATAAAAAACAATCATAATGTATTATTATTAAATAAATTTTGAACGCCACAAAGTGAGAAAAACCACAATTCTTCTGCTAATTGTAGAGAATTTTTGATGACTTTCCATCCTTCCACCAAGAAAAAATGTCAATCAAGTTAAATTGAAATTATAGAGAATAGGTGCAGAAGCAGAGATTACCCAGTTGTATGGAAATGAAAAAAAATAACGAAAAGCTAAATAATACAGGAGCTAAATAATAACTCCCACTTTACCTGAGAAACAAGATTATCTGTCGGTAGTAAAATCTGTTAAGACCATAGATGGAGAGATAAAGTATGGGGAAAATGGTAGCTTAGGATGATATCCGAAAATTTATTTTGAATAAAGCCTATTTCAAAGGGGATGGAACATATGTTCGACATAATTCGTTTTTGAGAAAAACAATAATTTTTGTTGCTTTTTGATGGCAGCACTCTTCTTTTTTATGTATTTGTTATATGTATATATTAAAACAAAATATAAGTACCAAATAAATAGATTATATGTAACTATTTAATTTATGAATAAGAAACTGCGCGATACAATATGCAAATACGCATTAGATATTACAACGTTAAATGTGTGCGTTCGCCTGATTGTTATGACACTCCCGCGGAGATTTCAATTTTCGCTATGGGTAAGAACATTAATAGAAAACTGGGCTCAATTAGTATCTTTAATAAAATTTCATGGAACAACAAACCGGTATTGGACGACAATGGAACCGTGCTGATGCTTTCTCGAAACAGTGAATACATCAATAATTCAAGAGAAAGAAACTGGTAACATTTTTTAATTACTGACCACATTGAAGTTTTTGCTTACAATATTTTTAGGCTTAAAGTATTAGCAGAGCGAAATTTATGGTCTGGGATATTTTTCAAGGTCTTGGAAATTTTTGGTCTGAGATATTTTTCACGGTCGGGGAAATTTTTCATGGTCGGGGATGTTTAAATTTCCATTTATTAAAAACAAATATGTCTTTCTTTTAAATAAACGATGTAAGGGGAAAAACAAGATAACGGCATTTAGCCGTTTAATCCAAAATGACGTTGGGTTAAGTACGTTGAGAAACAAAGCAATATACATTTGCAAGAATATCTTGATTACTGTTACCTGGATTAATTCTTAAAATAAATGTTTGCTTTACTTACTGAATGATAATTTGCCAATTGTTATTTAGCTCTGTTGAATTGAAAATTAGGAACAACAGTTGAATATGAAGCTTTCCTAAATCTCCTTTTCGTGCATTTGATATATTTTTATTGTATATTAATTTTGTTTTTTAATATGTTTCTATCGTTTGTTTATATATTTAATGCTTTATCAGAATATCGAGATCAGCATACATTTCGAAAAATTATAAGATTTTCTATTTTTTTTTGTTTCTACGAAAATTAAAGTACAATAAAGTGGTTAGTGATTAATCAGCTTTGCCTTCAGTAACATGCAGCTGGAAGTCATATGCTGACTGACATATTGGTGGTCAGAGTACCAATTGCGAAGTTTCGTACATTCATTTCTCTATTCCTTCTTGTTGCTTGCGCTTTTAACGAATGTGATTGAAATGAAACGATACATTAGATACTTTCTAAAGCAAACTAACCAAAGTAACCAAGCAGCCAACCAGAGCAGTCGGTAGCCAATCAAGTGCACAAAAGCAATTAAAAGTGGATTAAATGAGGTCGAAAGGCAAACAAGATGCAGCATATATATATTTTCGTTTTCTGTACATTTACAACAAATATACATACGTACATACTGGAAATGAATACTTGTATTATTTAAAAAACAAAAAAGTGAGGAAAAAGAGCTTTAACAGCTCTAGCCTTATCGGTGTATGTATAAAAGTTGCACTTTTTGTAAAAACGATCCTGAGTCTTTCTAAGAGAATCGTATTATTTGGAGAGGATAATTGTGAATTTTGATAAAGAAATATTAACACCTTTTCTATAGGGGCAAAGAGGTTTGTTTCAGTTTGCTTTTAACATCACCTTTTCTGTGTTAATGCCATCAGAAAATTTCGAGGACAATTATATATGTTGAAGCTAAAAGATCGCATTTTTTTCGGCACACTACGGCTTAATCCGTTTCCCACCTTGGAAGAGTTTTCTAAAACATTTGTAAAAACATAACTAATTTATTCGTTGGGTATTTGTTACGCACCGTTATTGAAGTCGCTTTATTTTCCTTTTTATAGATTTCTCAATTTCTTTTCAGTTTTGTTTTTTCGCGCAGTGTATGAAAACAGATTTGTAGATGTGTACATTTACACATTCTTATAACGAAGAATAATTCTACTTTCTTTCCGTTTTCTTTTATTTAAGCTATTCACTCGGGAAATGGAGAAGAAGTAAAATGAAAAAAATGGAAGTACTGACCATCATAAATAGTTTTTACTTCAATTCGCTTTTATCTTAGGTATATATAATATATTCAAGGTTTATTTTTCTTAAAATTTAAATGCAAAGTATAACATACATTTATATAAAGAAACGTTTCCATTAGAATTTAGGAGTTGAAAGGTAATAATTCTTTGTTGTACTTGTTCATAAAAAATTTCAATTAAAAATTCAATCAATTTTGAAATCACGCGATTGCTCTCACATGCTTAATTGCATATAACATTCCTAAAGCTAAACACAACTAGTATGCAAACAAAAAGAAATTGTTTCTATCTACTTACTGCATTAAATTCATCCTGGCGCTGCATATGATGTTGTATGAACATGACATTGTGTATGGCTTTCTCCAATTCAAAGGGGTATTTTTTGCGAGGGGCAACGTCGCTTAATGAATCATCCAAGCCCGATAATACCGAAGGTAAACCGTTATATCCGCTTAAACTGCTTAAGCCACCACCCAAAGCTCCAACCAAACCGGAAAACCTATCGAAAGATAAATGACTTGGAATATTCTTAAGGTTTGCCGCATTTTTCTTACCTATTTGTAGCGCTACTAGCGTGCAAACCATTGCAACCGCCACTACGACTGTGCATACGTCGTAATGAATCGGGACTTGAACTATCCGAATTCATTTGCATTTCATCGATTAAAGCTCTGCCAAATTTTGTCTTACTAAACTTGGTGCCGTAATTAATTTTGCTCGCCGCCAAATCTCTTAAGAGATCCTTAGGTACGCGCATTAATAGCAATTTCGGCAAACGTTTTATGAAAAACGCTCTCACCCATGGTGCCATCTTATGTGTGCTAGGTTTTCGATAATGTATATTTAATATAATAATTGTTATGACAACACTAAGTCCCACCAGCAGCATGGTGAAAAGTAAGTACTTTCCCAGCAGCGGTAACGCTAAAGATGTTGACGGTATAATTTCCGATATCAACAGGAAGAACATGGTTTGCGACAATAAAATGCTAATGCATAAAGCAATTTTTTCGCCCGAATCGGCTGGCAAATAAAAAACTAAAACCGACAAATAAGATATACCTACGCAGGGTATAATCAGATTTACGGTATAGAAAAGAGTTTTACGTCGTAGTGTTATATTAAAGAAAATATCTTAAAAATCCATATGGCAGCATAAAAAAGAAGTAAAAGAAAAAACAAATACAGAGAAATAAGAACAAGTGGGTCAGAGAGATCGGTATTTTTATTAATCTTACGTAGGATGTTTCGGTTTATAATAAATTTTGTGATTTGTGTTCTTAATAAAAATACCAATGGCAACAAAGTAATTTTGGTTTTAACGTTTTCCAAATTTCACAATATATACTTTTTTTAAGTGTTTAAGTGTTTTTCACAGAGTTATTTTCCCAGCACTTTTTTTCACACACTCTCGTCGCTCTTTGTGGGAAAGCGAAGTTAATGACGTTACAATTTTTATTATAGCGGTAACTTGTGAGAATTATGAAAAGCTGAGACATTCTGTTCGATCTGAAGATAATGAAGCATAATCAAAAAAAGTATTTTCTACACTGCTCTGCTATCTGTCCATGTAAATTTGCTCGATCTATTGGTCGTAAATTTCGAGACATTTTGATGAAATTTGGGGCACTGACGTGCTTTGAGCCAAGGTCGAATGCTATTGAAAATGTTCCGAATCGGTTCGCTTTTACGACCCTTATCGCCTTATTTTGAAAAAATTAAAATTTTGAAAAGTTCTCTAGAAAGCTCGCGTTGTGATAGTATTTAAAATTCTAATTTGATGTGAAAAATTCTACGAAAACTGAATCTTTGTATCGTAAAAAGGTCTAATGTTGTATACTTCACGGGGAAAATTGATTCATAATAGTAAATTGACAGAGAAATCGACCTTACCAATATTGGATCACGTAGGTCTAGTCTTAAAGTGACACCGCATATAAGGAGTTCCATGAAATGTACACACTTGCGAAAAAGTTTTAATAGGTATTTGTTAATATTTTACGATGAAAATTGGTTCTTGATGGTGATTTGATGTACAGTGGACCAAATTTGAATCTTATGGGTCTAGTTCTTGCACACAATTCCATATAAAATGTGACATGAGTAGTAAGATCTTCCAAAAAAAGGTTACTTTTCGAAATTTTATAGTGAAAATTGGTCCATTGTAGTAACTTAGCAAAAGAATTAACAGGGAATTGGGATAACATGAGCCTATTTTTCGTATCGGAGTTATTATGAAATGCAAGATTCCTATATGGAGAGAAAGTCTAATCTTTATTTTTTATAACGAAAACTGAAAAATAATAAAATTTTTAAGAAGCAAAAGGTGCTTGCATGCATGTATTTTGATCATTTCTTCATTTGAAAAAATAATTTATTGAGAAAAATTGGTACAATATGTATATACATACATAAAGCATTTTTCATCATTTTCTACAATTCTTTCCCATTTTCCTGGCAACATGGCGATACCGTGTCAAAAGAACGATGTTGATTCGCAGCATTCGCATTTTTTCAGCGTTTCGAAACGGCATACCAACCAAGCCATGGTTCATCGAGCGCTGTCATGCAAGAGAATCACTTTGCATCTTTTGAAAGCTATTGCTGGTCTTTTTTGCAATCATGCATCGTTCAGTTTGTTCAACTGACGACGATAGACATCTGCAGTAACAGTTTCATCCGGTTTTAGCAGCTCGCAATACCCTACACTTTGCTGATTCCATCGTATGCACAACAAAACTTTATTGCTGTGAAAATGTCACTTCGATGTCGATATGGATGGCTCTCCTCAACTAATCGATGACTTTTTTACTGAGGATTATCGCAGTAAATCCACTTTTCATCGTCGGTCATAATAAGTCACAGAAAATTCTTCTATCATTTTCATCCAATTCATATGGTAACCATTTTGACTCTTTTTGGATCTTTCCAATCCTATGTAAACGTCTAGAAATAGCTGATTTATCACCTGATATGCTGATCGAAAGTCTTTTGAGAGTTTAAGTTCGGTTTTTGTTCAAAAAGTCTTGCAATTCATTGAATAAAAAAGATTTGGTTCTCTAGATCGTTTTTTGTCATTGACATTAAAATCAACCAAACTATTGAAAGTAAAACCGACAAATGGGGTAAGGTGAAGCAACATGACCATTATCTTCTAAAAGTGCTTGATAGGCTTCGGCACTGGGCTTCTTCAAATTAAACGAGAAAAGTAGTGAAGGTCGTCACCTAAATAAGCGTTCCCTGATCAATAATACTAAATGTAAAACTGTTATTTTATGTAGGGAGAAGTCAAGATCATGAAATTTAACCGTATTACTTTATCATTTTCTTCAGTATATGTCACTTATCAAAATTCATGGAAGTGTAAAATTAAATTTATTAAATTTGGTTCACGTCATTTGATGTTTTGGACTTTCTCCAATATGTAGTCTGTCAAGAAAAGTATGCCAAAATAATGTGTAATTTTTGGTGTATTATTAACAAAATGAATGAAAAATTAATTGTATTAGGCAAAGTGGGCTACGATTTTTAATGGTCGGCCTTGCCCCACTCTAACATTCTCACTTGTTTATCAATTGCTTGTTTACACATTGTAAACGTCACCTTAATAAATGGAAGGACAGATGTACGTGAATTCTTACTGTTACGTACGTTGTACATTGCAAACAAGAGAGAAGAAAATTATAATATTACATTTCTGATTTACACGCATTATTTCGACATTTTTCCACCTGCATATTGAGTACCAATGCCATTAATAACGTATTCTGTTTAAATTCGAATTTCATGAAAAAATGGATTAGTTTAAATCATGCACGGAGAAATATTGAAATGATTAATGTTGAAAAGAATTGAACGTTCTACGTCCATTTTTTTTTATCTTTAGAGCTCTAACTATCGACAATTAAGAGACGGATGTGAACAAACAGATTTTTAGATAAATACGTCACGAATATGTGTTTTGTTGCATTTTGGATGCTTTCGATTTAAAGCGGTTAGAAAACTTGATGCTTTCTACATTTTAACGGTAATTAATTGACGTTAACCGTAATTTTCTGGATATGTTTAGTTATATAAGGACTCGCACAATCACCTTTTTTCCTAATTTTTTCGAGAGTGTCTGACTTCTTTAGCAAAAATATTGATTGTACAAATTTCAAAAAGTTTTTTTTATGCTTTAGATGTAATGATAAATAGGCGAACCAAGATCGTGTATTCATTTGCCTTTACGCATCTGATTTGGCGATAACTTCGGTTACCTAAGTCGCTGTACACGAAATTGACAGCATTTCAATATGTCATTTCCATACTAATACTGGAACCTGTATACATGTGTACTTATATTTGCAAAGATTTGTCACACTTTGTCGAAAAACAAGAGAAGATTACCTATGTAGGAAGTGATTGGTTGTTTGCATTCTCTCTTTCATATATTTTCTTATTTGTTTTTTTTTTTAATTTATTGCAACAATGTATTGATACCGAACGAGGTCCACATAATTCGGAAACCCTAAAACGGTCAACACAATATCGCCAAGATAAAGATAATCAATTATGGTTGGAAAGGGTGAAGGCGTTTTCCGGTTGAATACCATAAAAAGCTTATAACATAATTAAAAAATTTTTTGGGTTACAGATAAGCAAACGCTTGCAAAAATCGAAAAGAGCAAAAATGATTAATATGTACCTTTCCACATGAATGAATTAAAACCATGAACTTTATATTGAGTACCATTGAATGTTGGCTTAATAAAGTCAGCTTTCCCGACTGTATAGCTTTGTCGAGCAGTTATTAAGACCGATCGAGATTGCTGTTGACTATGTTAGTGAAGCGGCGAGCTCCTATCCCTGGGACAGATGAACAATTGTGTATGTGCACCAATTCGTCACATTTGTTTATAGTGAAATAAAATAAATTTTGGAGACAAATATTTCTGTGTGCTCCCTTTATTATTGACTGAGATAGGTACCATTACCGATCAAAGCAGCAAAATTAATTTGATTTTGTTGAGTTGGGAAGATTGCAAACTGTCCTTGTTTCATCATGACAGATGGATTGACGCAGATCGGCGAACGGATGGTCTGACGGTTACTGGTCACAAATGTATTTGTACCAATTTTTAAAGAAAATCCCACACATTTGTTTTTATGGTTTCTGACTCTATTGTTTTCTCTTCGTACTCAACAGTATCGAGCACCACACAGCTGATCGCTTTTTATGCGTGGTTATTCTTGTGCAGAGAAAATGGAGCAGGAGCACATTAATACTTTATTATTTTGCATTCGTCTTTTTTGCCATGTTATCCTAGCGCTTTCGATCATCATCCCATCTCTTCTTTGCGTTGATTTGGAACTATTTTTTACTCGCCTTTAGGAAAATCCTGTTTTATAAAATAATTTTCTTCCTCTTAGCTATGGTAGTTTCCATAAATGTATGATACTTATATAGCTCTTCTTCCATTATTGGGTTATCGTCTATGGAGTATATTTTACATTGATATCGACTTAAGCAGCCACAAGAATTTGGGACAGATTACAGATAACGAAACCGATTACTATTGCAGCGGTTTTGCGAATTGAAGTTAATGAGGCAAATTTAATAAAAAAAATGAAAAAAACAAAAAACATAAAAGAAAAATAAAATATTGAAAACAATTGTCATTATCCTCAGCAGTTCCCAAACCTTTTCAAATGAGTGGTTATTTCCCAATTTACTAAATAATAGACAACCAACCATAAGGAATAATGGCCCTGGGGCCGCCAGATAAAAACTCAAATAGATTTCGTCTATTAGCAGACGTATCCCCCCAAAGAAAAATAATTAAAAATTCCGACTTTCCGGTGTTGCCAACCAGTAGCTATTAAAAAAGCACTAGATAGCATTACAACATATATAGACTCTATATCGATTTTACGCGATGGGAATTTACTTGTCCTCGCCTGGAACCCGAGCGCAACCGAAAAGCTCATAAAATCGAATTCATTAGCTAATTTATGTGCTATATCCGCTAAACTGTATGACAGATTGAACTCGGTTATAGGCGAAGTTTATGCCCCATGCTTAAAGTATGTGACGGAAGATGAAATTGTTCGCGAAATGGGCAGTCAAAGAGTGACTGAAGTCTACAAATTCATCAAATTAAATGATGATGGAAAAACCCGCTCTCCTACAGGAAGAATTATTTTGACTTTTGACCGCTATCGGCTACCGGAAACTGTTGATGTAGCTTGGTACAAATGTAAAGTAGAACTCTACATTCCAAATTCCATGTGGTGTAAAAACTGCCAACGCCTGGCACCAGTCCTCCATCATGTGCTAACTGTGATCGTCCTCCACATGTTGAAAACTGTACGCGTAGCTTCTGCTTAATATTGCAACGATGAACACTCGGCGTTAGACAAACAATGCCCACGTTTTATACAAATGCGTGAAATTCTAAATAATACGGTATTTTCGACTGGCCATATACCCTACATGTAGAAACTGGCAGCAGTTGTTTCAATTCCTAAGTCTAAAAATGTTTCCATCGCATCGGATTATTGCCAAATCTTTCTTTTATCTTGCCTCTTGAAGGTATTGGAAAAGATTATGGCATCTAGGTTATCTTGGTTTCTAGAGTGCGAGAACCTGATAACAAAGCAAAAAGTTGGTTTCAAGCAGGGTAGCGGGTGCATCAACGCACTCTTACATATTTATTATTTTACAAGCAAAGCAATTTTCTAACGGAATCACAAAACAATTCTCTCAATTGATTTCGAAAAAGCATTTGGCAGATTTGGTCCTCATGTTATTTTAAGACTCTTGAAATCATGGAATGTTGCACCCAAATTTTTTAACTACATCAAATCATTCATGTCGCATCGGCGGTTTAAAGTTAGAACAATGATCTCTCTGAATCCTTTCTGCTAATGGATGGCATTCCGCAAGGATCTCCTCTTTCTGTCACGCTTTTCCAGATCGCCTTCAACGAAATTAGCAAAATTCTTTGCCGTATACCGAGAATCGAACATTGTCTCTACGTAGACGATATATACATTTTTACATAAGAAAAAGATAGCACGAAGGCAATCAAGATCCTCGAATCTATTGGACGAGAAATCTCCGCATGGGCAAGTTCTATACATAAAGCAAAAAAAATACACATTTGTCAAAAGCAGATATGCGATACGGGAAATCTATTGATGCATATTAATGACTTACCAGTACAAAACGTGCAGACGCTCCATATTCTCGGGCTCACTTTTTCCAACAAATGTCGTTGGAAAACACACTGTCTTCGGTTAAAAAATTTTATTTTAACAAGGGTGAATTTCGTACAGTACGTTGCTTGGAAAAGCCATGCGCACATTAACACTATTGCTTATCTTACCACAATGTTTGTTTTAAGCAAGGTTGACGATGCTTTGATAATTTATGGCAATAGCTACAAATCTAATATCAACATCCTCAAACCGGTTATGCTTTTCGGACGACGCCCATAAATAATATTATAATTGAAACTGATCTTCCAGCTTTAGAAAATAGACTTTTAAAAGCTAAAATACTCCCCAAGCTTCTTCATTCAAACATATTTATTTTCTGTGACGTGAGAAAGATTATTATTTCAAAGAAAATTAGAAAGCCACCATTTGCAATTGACTATTGTTTGTACGTCGGAAAAGAATTGAACATTCCCTTAAAACTTTTCCGCTATTTTGGTATTAAACCTCCATGGATTTTGAAAGACTGATCTTTTGATATTTCGCTTTCTATGCACAGGAAAGAAGATACTCCAAATTATGTCTCCAGGAATCTAATAGCTGAAAAAACCCAAGTACTGGAAGGTAACGGTTGGAATCTTCTATACACAGACGGCTCATAATCTTCTGGTCTGCCACCTAGTTGTGCCATGGATGCTTCAGGACAGGCTCTTCTTCACATATCCACGAAAGTACTTCAACTTTAACAACCGAAGCCTGAGCTGCCCTTTACGCTGCGAAACTTTCCCATAAAAGCCAACTCAAGACCGTCATTGCTGCTGATAGTTTGTGTGTATTAGAAGCTATGCGGAATCCTTAGACTTCGAGATGGAGCGCCATCAACAAATTAAGGAATATCATTACAACATCCGGCGAAAAAATTAAAATGTTATGAGTACCTAGTCATGTCGATTTATTGGGAAATGAGCAGGCGGATCGAGCGGCGAAGTATGCTGCTTCTGCACCTCTAATTATGGATGATATTAAGAAAAGTTGGATCTTCAAAGATACATTGGAAGAAAAGTTAAAGAGAAAATTACGGAAGGAAATCTACAATACCGTCATCAGCACTACTCCTCCATTAACCCTCAATTGACTCCACCTTTATATCCAACAAATGTTGAGAAAACAAAGATCCAAACATTTTCGAGAATTCGCCTTTGTCGTACAATTGCAATTCACCATTGGATCTTAAAGAAGTCTTCCTTCCCAATCTGCAGTTGCGGACAAACTCTCACTATAAAGCACATTCTCTGCCACTGCCTTAACTTTACCTTGGCTAGAGGTATTGCATTTGGAACGACTAACCCTTTGGACATTCTTCAGAACCGAATATCAATTCTATATATTACTTTATTAATACTACTAAGCTGATTATCTAATTTACACTTATTTATATTAGAGCCGATAGCCTGCGCTGCTGGTGCTCAATGTCTTTTTTTTTAGTCTTAGAATTTATTTCATTAGTCTAAAATTATAATAATAACAATAATATGTTATCTATATTTTCGTGTTATTATTGTCCACAATTGTCCCGCAAGAGGCGCTCTAGTCTTACTGGCACATGAATTTTAATTTTGCTTATAATAACCAATATTATCGTATAATTGTATTCTGAACGATAATAATTATTATTAATTATTAAACTAAAGTAATCGGGAGTGCATATACTGACCATTAAGCTTTTTAACAATTTCTTCAGTTTCCTCGAAAAATATAAGTTAAGAAAATTCTTGATTTTATGCAGAAGAATAATTGAAAAACAAATCGACATTGTAGAAGAAAAAAGACCGACAAACAAACTAAATGATTGTCTTACGGTTGGTACCATGAAAGGTTGGTCTATCTCAAACCCTTCTGGGTATTGTATACACCCGCACAAATTTACGTTTGTACCACAAGTAGTGTAAGGTATAAAGAGAAGGAAGGACTGACGTTTGAGCAAACAGCCGGAGAGACACCTAGTCAACAAAAATAATTGTACAACTCAGGACTTTAGGACTTTATACTAAATAGATCAGGTGCAAATACTTCATAAAGGCCTCCGAACGTATATAGCGTTACCTTCGAGCTGAAAGCGTGTAACATATTACCCTTATATTGCACTTTTAGTTTTTTTGATCCCCGTAACAAACGCACTGTAAAGTATTTTTGTTTTTTTATAAATTAAATTTTATAATTCTTTCAAAATTAACTGCTAAAGGGAAGGCTTTGTAAGTACTTTTGCGTTATTTAACGATATTTCCCCTTTTTTCGCATAAAATAAAACCTCTTAAAATATGTTCATAGTTCTCGATGAAATTTTTATAATATTGTATCTGCAAGCATATATGTGCATATGTGTGTGCATATTCATTATAAGTCCCAAAGGAATCATATTGGTTATGCATAGCGTTGACATTACCAAAAACTCGTTGATCCCCTCGCGCCCGCGCACAAGCATACAAATGGTATGAATTCATCATGATGTTGTTAAACGTCTATGTATGTGGTGAGCAGCAGCATGTTGCTATGATATCATTATGGGTGAATTTGTTTACATACATGTACATAAGCCGATGCTGTCAGCACATGTCTATTTGCATTTGTAGCGAAAAAAACGTTTACATAATATTTGTGACGTTTCTTTTAATTTCATTATAATTTATTTATTTAATATTTTAGATGCTTTTTAGGGAATTGAATGCTTTAGTTGACAGGGGTTTACTGTTATTTTTCTCATAATAATTGCCTGTTAGAAATGAAATCGATTTTCAATGTTTAATAATATTGAACATACCTGGATATGGTTCGGCACAGCAAGGATAATACTTTTCATGGCGCTCAGCTGGTACTCCCAAAATATCCCACTCCACACTAGGATAGTATTCACGCAAATCAATGCCTAATTCAACTTTGTTGTCTTTGTCATTTTTTTGGTTAATATGTTTTAAGTCGATCTAATAAAAGGGAACCATGTACAGAATGCAATTCAGTGCATTTTTTGCCGAAATGTACCTGATCGCCATCATAAGTCCAAGAACCGAATTTCATAAAGCAAGTTTGCTGATCGAAAGGAAAATAGCGTACATCAATTTCACATGATGATTTAAAGATAGCCGGTGGGGTCCATACTACTTTGCCAGTATAATGTAATATGGCTTTGGTCATTGTTGTAACTACGTATTCACCATCAGCACTACATATTTTTATGTTTCGTAAAATGACTTTCATTTTTTGTTCTTTTAATGGTGGCTTACTTATTATATAAAACAATATCCGGTAACCAAATGTGTTCCGATGGTACATAAAGTTCAGTCACTCCCCCATACTAAGATTAGAAAAATTAATAAGAAAATAATTTATAGTCGTACAGTATACATATAGTATATATATATATATATATAATTATTCCCACCTCCGACGGATCCCATTTAAATTTATGATCTTGCCATTCATGTTCCAACCAAACGTTGGTTGTTAAGATTTGATCTTTCAGATTCTAAGAGAAAGCAAATAAAGGAAAAACAGGACCAACCACCATATGAATATAATTTAATATTTGTAATAATCTTAATGTACTCTATATCCTTAATCGTATACACGTACAATCGTATATATGTACACTTCCTGTGTTTTGCTTTCAAATTCTATTTAATCCTATGTGCTTGCTTTTCATGTTTGCCGTCAGCCAAAGAGATTTAAAAATATTATTACATTTTAATCCACTGTAGTGTAATGGCTACAAAGTGTAAAAATTTTCCATTACTTTTGCATTACAGAGCATATTTTTAGGTGCTGGTTTACTTTTCACTTTAATATATATATTATGTGGCATAGGGTTCCAATTGTGGAGAATGCAAAAAGAGCACTGCAAATATTCTATTGCTATGCGTTGCGCTTGGCTGGGGTTCAAATGGTGGAAACGTGCTGTAACTAATGGATAACTAGTCTTAGCTCCGTTAGTAAGTACATGGTGTTGCTAGAAATTGAAAAATGACCGCAAGCAAAAGCAATTGATAAAGTTATAAAATGCAACTGTTGCAAATTACTTAGCAAAAGCAAAAAAACAAAAAAAACAAGCTAGAACAAAAGCGCAAAACACAACATTGTATAAACAGCAACTTTGTTTGCAAGTCTTACTTGAAACGCTACAAAAAAAAAAAAAAATTACAACAACATGCACGTTTGGAATATTTATTGATTTTCAATTTTCTACAACTTATTGTGTACAAGAAATCCGCTTAAGATCAAATTACATTAGGACGCAAAGTATTGAAATTGCTCTCAAAAACGAAAAAGTTGCACTACACTTACCCCTCTTTCGCATCCAATTATTTTGAATTTAAATAGGAGAGGAAAGAGTTCCAATTAAACTGGCTGGCCGGTTGATTGACTTATTGGTAAGACCAATAACTAACACTAACATGCCGGTTTGAGTCAAAGAACATAGAGCAGCAGGTTTATGCAACTATTTGAAATACCTTTAGATTCATCTTTATGAACTTTATTTTACATATAACATAATGTCATAATCATCGTCATCGTCATCATCATCATCGTCGTTCTCAAAAGTCTTATGGTCTCAATCATCGTCGTCATCGACAACACAAAAATCCTTATAACATTGTGACAATGACGTTGACGACAGTTACAGAAGATGAGTTAACGGATTTTTATTTTTGTCTTTCACTTATAACTTGACTTTCTTTCTCTCAGTGACCATTTGCGCTGTTGACAACTTTGTATGAAATTCAATTGATCAAATATTGTATTAAGGCCATGGAGATTGTACGTGTTTGAGCATAACATATATTTTTGAAACAAAAGAAATCAATTTACCAAACACACCGACTATTGCGACGGCAACAACTACTACTACTACTACAGAAATAACAAATTGCAAACAGAATAAAATATTGAAAATTCAATTTGTCTTAAGTGCGACAAGGCAAATATTTTCAAATAAGAAAAAGAAATGCAAAAACGGAAAAAAATTATATATAAGTAAAACACTTTGCTTTTTCAATTCTTCCCTATTCCTCGCGCCAAAGCCAATGTAAATATATTCGTGTATGTACGCACGAATATCTATTATCGTATATTTGTATATAATGCCATTAAGAGATGCCTAAGTGTTTGATGATGATGTGCAGCGAAAATAGCTACATAAGAATAAAATATAAATAAAAATAATTCTTTTAAAAGACGTTTTGATTATATTGACTTTAGCGCAAAGAAACTGCAAAACCTTAAGTAAATGCTGAAACATTAGAACAGGGTGGCAGTAAACAATAAAGGAGCAAAGATTATTGAACATTGAATTTTTTACATTTTTAGAATTTCAAGATGAATTGAACTATATATTAGGATAAATGTGCGCTTGAAATACAATTTTGAATAAATTATTTTAAATAAACTACGTACATTTTCGGAAAATGTTTATAATTCACAGTGTAGATAGACGAATATGGCCCACAAAATACAAAAATGTGCTTTTCCTCTAAAGAGAATTTCAGTTATTTTACCGTAGTCAAAAGGTATGTGTGAATGGGCTGAAGCCTATCTTCATAAAAGTAAAAGTTATCATTAAAAGTTTCGTTTGACCCAGGTTTTGCTTAAACCACTTGCATTTTCGATCAGATTCTATAGTATTACTGCGAAAAGGTAAAAGCTGTTATACATTTTACTTTTTTTCCCCATTTCTTTGGACTTTGCCGGTTACGACCGATTCTTTTGCATACATCATTCGTGAAAAAATGTAAAAATGTAAATTCACCTATTTCGTAATATTGGGTGGAGCAACGGGCCAAAGATACGGAAAGCGAAAGTGTTTTCAGCTTTGCTCGTATAGACGTGTGGACGTTGCGGATCGGTTTTTTGACCTGCTTATGGTATTCTAAAACTCTTTTGCAAATATGCAGGCGATGTTTTCTTTTTTTAAGCATTGAAAAAAAAAATTAAATTAAATTTTGATACACTATAATATTAGGTAGACTTAGTCAATTTTGCCTATTTTCGTAAAGGTACCACAACATCGCCTATAGAATATATCTATGTAGATTTATCTGCTGTAGTCTATGAGTAATGAGTGAAAACACAGTTTTTTTTTTTCTTTTGAAATATAGAGGTGTTCTGAGATTAGTTGCTAGAGCGGGCGTGCCCCTCTGAAGATTTGGCTCATTTCCAATAGAGGCCTGAGAAATCTTTAATATATGAAGGAGGGAAGAAAGATTTAAAGATTGCAATTGAACTGTTAAAGGGGAATCTATATATTAATAACATCTGTTTTTATCTCTTTTTTTTCTTTTACTTACCAAATCAATGAGTTGCGATAAACGTAGACCTAATTTAACTAAAACAGTATCGGTATTATTGCTAACGGGTCTTATTAAGCGATTATAATTGCTTAGTAAATCGTCATATAAACGCTTCGCATCTGGATTACTGTGAACATTATCACATAACATCAAAAATATTAGGAAAAAATGAAAAATTTTCAGTTGACATCTTAAGATAATCAAGTGCTTTTTAAACGCCATGGTTATGCCTATGGTTTGAATAATTTAAATGTACATTTGAGTTGGATAAGGCAAAACGATTGTTAAAAATGTATTAATGACGTCAGAGGCTAAGCAATTTGAAATAAATTTGCTTAATAGCTATTTAATTGTTATGTCCTTCAAAAACAGCCGGTTTTTGTTTTAGTTTATTTACATTAACATCACCGTTTGTATGTTTTCGTCTACACACGATATTTTTTTTTAAGTATCTGTGCGTCTGTGCATTTGTGTATATACGTCACATTCTAGATTGCCTATGCGACTGTGAGTGGATGTGCGTGTTTTGAGTTTTCATTTTGTGTTTTGTTTATTTTCCGTTTCATTTGGGGTTTTCCTTCATTTTCTTTGTTTAGGGTGTGATTACTTTATGCGTGCGATGATGACGTCTATAGTTATTTTAGTACAACATGCAGTACTAAAAGGTCTCCGTTTGCGATTGACAGTTTAAAATGTCAACAAACAAATTTTGGCATTTAAAAATAAACTTTTTATCCAAAAACTGATTGCGAAGTCGTTTTATAAACAAAAGTAGGTAAGCCTTTCCTTTCTCTGAATTAAAATTGTGCACTATTTCTATGGTTTGTTTTACAGTAATTACGATTAAAAACTTTATTTTCACTTTCTTTAGCCAAGAATCTTGTCTAATTGTTTTTTTTTTTTTTTTTTAATTTGTCAAATTTCACTTGAGTTTACTCTCCGTAGTCGTGTGCTCAATTATCACAAGCCACATACTGATAGGTTACTGAAATCTGCCAGAAAATGTAGCTTGAAAATGTCGGCAAATCAAAAAAAAAAAAAAAAAACAGAAGAACGAAATGTGTAGAGTTCTAAAAACAGGCGTCAAAAAATTGTATAGTTTTGTCGCTTACAGCATCCGGCCGCAGATGAGAGCAGGCGCTCTGTTGTGCATATAGCTCTCGTATGAATATAATGCAAAAGAATTAAAGAAAAGAGAATCAGAGAACTAATTTATAAGGCATACAGAAAGAGAGAGTCTCGCGTAATAAGAGCGTTGTGATAGGAACACATGGAGTTTTAACTCATTACTTGAGCAAAAATCTAGAGAGCTTCAACAATAAGTAAAACATAATTGTGTTTTATTAAAATTTCTCGACAAAAATGTTAGAACAATAAGTAATAGAAAGACTCATTTGAAGTAAGCGGATGCTTACAGATTTATTTTAAAACAAAAAATATATTACATTGTTAATGTTAATATGCTATTATTGTTACTATTATTAGTGATAACATTTTTAATATTTATTACTATTAAAATATGTAATGGAGTCGCGGAATGGTGTCCCATAGAAGCACCTTACTCGTAGCGAGTGCTAAAATTGGAAGCTTTTGCAAAATAACTTGATAGTTGAAATGAAAGTTGACTGCACAGTTAACCCGACAGGGAGATAACACAATTAAAACGGCCAGTTTACTAGTAGTGTTACGTCGTCATTACTGCAAGTGTCCATATACATTTATATAAAACTTCCAACCATGCGAGAATAAGCGTATATGTTGTTTACACTTCTCAATAATTCAACATGTATTTTTACAAAAATTGCCGACATCTGAGAGTAAGCGTTTCTTATTCTCAATAATTTATCCAACAACTGTTAACATCTGAGAGTAAGCGCATATGTTGTTTACACTTCTCAATAATTGAATATGTGTTCGTACAATCTATGCGCGCTTTAGAGAATAAAATTTTCATTTGTTCGAGAGGGCCGAATGCGGTACACTTCACCTTACTAACACGCATTTGATTAATGATTCGGGTAAAATGATTATTCTTGATAAATTGTTGCCAAAACTACAAGCTCAAGTTTTGATGTTTTCCTAAACAACTGGAATGTTGGATATATTAAGAGATTATTGTTTTTGTCGTAGTTATCAGTACTGTCGTTTGGACGGGCAGAACCCCATCAAGATCGAAATCGCCAAATTAGACGTTACATTAGGAGCCTGACGTATGTCTTACTGTAAACTCATATGCAATGATTGTAAATAATCGTTGATATCAATAGTCCTAACATATATATCATTTTTGGTTGCGTTATCATAGTTTCTTTTTTAAAAATGCATTTGTTGATAAGAATTGGTACAACATATATTTGTCAAAAGAGTTTCTTAGCCTTCATTCTCTACAACATTTTACAATATTTTTGGCGACATGACAATATCATGTAGGAAGAACTTGGCGATACCGTCTCGAAGGAACGATATTGGTCTGGCAGTGATCCAAACATGGATTCATTTTCACACTTCTTCAACTTTGTGGACCCGTTTATCGGCCAAGCTATGTCGCATCGATCTGAACAAGTGATGTTCAGAAGGCACCATGTCTGATGAGTGTTTTGGGTGTGGCAGGAGTTCGTGCTGCAACAGTTTATCCTGGACAACTCTTGCAACAAGGGGTCGAAAAATGGCATTTTCAGCCAATTATTTTCGCCACTTTTAAATTGTTGGAACCGAAACCGACAATGAGGATATGATGGAGCATCATCACCATACGCTTTTGAACTTGTTTGGTGGGTTTCGGCAGCAGATTTCTTCAAATAAACAGCAAAGTAATGTATTTGGAAGAAGAAGAATTTTGAGCGCTCCATGATTAGCGTCGCCGCACGCTCAATAATATATCAATAATATTAAAGTGGAATAGCATAGAACAGCACTAAATTCATTTTCATGCTGTCGGACTATCGCTCTTGGCTTGAGCATACATTTAGGCACAGCCGATGTCTATCTATGATTCCAATCGGAATCCTTAAATAGACGCTAGTCTGTGAGGCTATTCGCATTGGCCAAAAGAAACAAGAACGTCCGTTTCGTTTCATTGCAGAGAACTAAGCAGAAGGAAAAAAAAGGAGACGAACCGAGGTAAAATTACGTCTAAATAAATTGAGCAACAAGGACGTCTGGTCAAGACGAACCAATTCAATAAAATTAAAATTTTAAATATCATACGCTTCAGTGCGAATCCTGCATTTCCTACAATGATTCAGATCTTACTAATGAAGACATTGACACTGTATTGGAGATAGGAGAAGCCAAAACTGCAGGAGAGAAGCCTAAGCGTTAGATATGTTAGATATGTTCGCTGGGAGGGGGTTCTTTACGCGCATTCATTATAAACACCAACGATTAACTTCGTTGCATGAATTTGAAGGCCAAGAGTATCGTGAAGAACATAAGCTAAACGCTTTAGGGAATTGGATCAAGTCGCCTAAAAGTCAATGGAAGGCTAATTATTTCATTCACACCTGTTTCTGTGAAGCTTTAATAGTTTCAGGACCAAAGGTTCCCAAATCACAAAGAATGCAATTATTCAAGACTTTCAATTCTTTCCTGAGCTAGGCTAAGAAGCCTCCAAAGTACAAGGCTGAACCTTTGAACGAAAAGAAGAAATTGAGACCTAGAGATTGAACACAAAAATACATCGACAGACTTTAGAAGGACAGACAGGCTTAGAGCCTTTCTGAGTATTACATACGTCTGCACTTAATTAATATACCCTGCGCCACTTGTGGCACAGGGAATAACACAATAATAATAATAAAATTTTGGAAATTTGTTCGCTTCCTTTCTGTACACTTTTAATGTACTTTCGTGTAAGCTTAGTAACTTCTACTCGATATTTCGAGCAACCCAATACTCAATCATGCTACTATTTGGTACACGCCCTTTCGATGACAAGGCAATTTTTTCATAATTTTGGTTTTCAAAACGTAACTACTACTGATTCGATCAAAAAGCTCTAGAACGCTTTTTATGTCATTACTTCCACCCTTTAGATGGTATAGCCTGAAGAGCTAATAACAGCCTAAAGTAGGCGATTTTACAGCCATATATTAAGCCTTTTCAACGCCCTGCAGAGAGTGACTATAAAAAACTATTACTATAACTACTACAGTATAATACAACTCGACCTTTTTCTTTCATTTGGATCATGTTTTTACGAATAATAACACGCAAGAGATATATATGAATGACTTAGGCGACTTTTGTTTACGCTAAACGCTATGTGAAGAAAAAAAAGAACGAAGTGTTTTGAGGTTTGGTCTCTACACAAAACTTTCATTTTTGGATTAGAATTCACTAAAGTTTTTAGATTTTTTTAAAATTATCTAAATGTATTGATTATTGGGGAAATTTATTAAAATTAATTATTTAAAGCATATGTCTTTATTTTACTGGGACTTTTTATGGTTTTGGAAATGCTAAAAAAACGTAACTCATCGGTCAGTTCTGAATTTTACGTTGTTTATGAATATACGAATTCGACCACCTTTGTGGCTTGCATTGCATTTCCCATCTTTTTAAACTTACTGACAAAGTTTGGTTTTTCCCGCCTTGCTTTCGTTGTTGTAAAAGCTGATAAAGTTTATAAATTTGTTTTGCTATAATTTATGTGGTATTTTCAACTATATAAATTATCTAAAACATATTCGATTACACAGAAAATATAAATCTTAGAAGAACATAAATAAATGAGTCTGAAAAATATTATTTACTTTAAAATAAATTTGCATTTATTATCCTTAAGTAGTGTTACTCTCACACATACCCATATTACGATAAAATGGAAATAAAAACAACAGCTGAAACAGCGGTACAAAAAACGATGAAATGGACACTTGAAAGGAAGGAGAAGAGCTAAAGATAAAAAGGAAAAAGAATTGAAAGAAACCGTGGTAAGGAAATCTGGTAATATTTGTAATGGGTGTTGATTGGCTTTGTGTAAGTGGGTGAGTTGTTTGTTGAATGTTAGTTTGACAACATAAGCTTAGTAAATGTATTATATAACCAAGTAACTGAAAAACAAAAAAGGATATTATACGACATTTGCTATGACATTTATTACATTTGCATTTTAGACGAACGGACGTTTACAAAAAATATGAAAAAATTCTTTGCTAAGAAATAATTCAAAGAAATTATAGTCACTTAATATTTAACGTAAAATCATATATACAAAAAAAAAAAAAAGCGAAGAAAAAAGTTTCCCAGTAAATGGAAAAAGAACAAAAGATATATAGGAAAAGAAAGAGATAAGATAACCTGAACAAATAGCTTGTAACTCTTATCTAATATATCCGGCTTTATTATGATTTAATAAATTTCCGATTGTTCGCACATAATCATCAGCATCATATTATGATGTTTGGTCGTTCACCATTGACATCATGGCACAATCACAAGGCGAACGCCCATAAATAATACGATACGATTTAACAAGAGTTCAAATACTAGTAACTTATGGTCGGTAATGATATTTATAACTTGAATACAATAACTTCCGTTTCTGCAAGGATCCCGTCTTTGCACTACGTATTTATCAACGGCTTTACTGCAAGCAGCAGTGGTTGTCGTTCAAATAAGTGAAGTAAAGTAAACATTTCCGCGTTTATGATGACTTTATTTGCACTTCCTTACCAATCGCCAACTGTTACAGTCAACTATATATGCGTGCATAACGGAAATGGCTTATGTTTGTAGATATGTTGTTGTATTCAGGTTTGCATTGCTATAGCAATGATAGTGATTTTATAGAAGTCTTTATTTTTCAATTTATTTTTTTTTTTTGTACTTTTTTCTTTCTACTTATAAAAATTAATTTAGTGGTAGCGCCCTGCTATGAAATTCACTGAAAAA